ATTGGCACAGGACAGAGCGGAGTTTAGGGCTGCTGTACATAGGGTCGCTATGAGTCGCAGGCAACTCGACAGCACATAACAACAACAACATATTTTTAATGACCTTTTGCTTCCTTCATGTTTGCTGTCTTTACTGTCATATAAAATAAAGTCATTCCATAACCAGTTCATTTGGTCTTCAGCCATGAATGTTCAAGAAATCAAATCCTTCTTGAGATGGGTTTTAAAATTCAGGTGGGATAAACCCAGGTCATAATTTGGCTGTTGTAGACTTGTTTTCATTTTCTCTAGTTCAATTTGAATATGAGTAATTGATAGTCTGTTCCTCAGCCCTTGCCTTAAGTCTGACTTCTGATACTGAGTTTTCCTAGTTTCTTTCCACAGATGTGGTCCAGCTGATTTCTGTATCAAGTTTGGACAGAATCAGATAATTAATTCTGAGTTAAGCAGCCTGCTGTAATTTTTTACATTCAGATTAAATTAATGTGTAAACAGTCTTAAGTTTTGCCATTTCTTTATAAAACTATGTTTGTTGCTGTTATGTGCCATCGAGTCTCTTGCGACTCATAGCGACCCTATGTACAAGAGCCCTAAACCCCGTTCTATCCTGTGCCAACCTCGCCATCTCAAACGCACTCATTCCCACCACTCCACTCACAGAATCGATCCATCTCATCAAGGGTCTTCCTCTCCTGCGCTGTCCCTCCACTCTCCCAAACATGATGTCCCTCTCCAAGGACTAATCCCTCCTTGCAACAAGCCAAAAGATTGTCAGACGAAGCTTCAGAATCCTTGACTCCAAGGAGCATTCTAGCTCTCCTCCCCACCCCAGGACAAACTTGTTTGTTCCTCTAGCAGTCCATGGTATAGTCATCATCACTCTTCTCCAGCATCACAGCTCAAAGGCATCAATTCTCAAATCATGCCTATTCACTGTCCAACCCTCTGATGCATAGCTTTCTATCATGCCTATTCACTGTCCAACCCTCTGATGCACAGCACATAATTGCAAAGACCATAGGCTGGATCAGGTGCATGTTAGTCTCCAGCCTGACACCATTGCTCTTCAGTACTCTTGAGAGGTCCCTCACAGCTGACTTTCCCAATGCAATTCGTCTCCTGATTTCCTGGCTGCTGTTACTGAGAGTGGTGACTATGGAACCAAGTAAACTAAAACTGTTAACTATCTCAATCTCTTTACCATCCATACTGATGCTGCTAATTGGCCCAGTGGTGAGACTCTTTGTTTTCTTGATGTTGAGTTTCAATTAGATTCATGAAATGAGCATAATTTTCACCTCAGTAATTTAGTTTCCCACATTTTTCTTTAAGCACATATGACTATTATGTTTATAAGCATAATAAAATAATAAAAATAATAAAAGATTATATTTGTTATACTTATTTGTAATATGCCACTGTGGATTTATAATGAATGACCTTATACAGCAGAACATAACTGACCACAGTGTTTCCAAAGAGTTCTCCTGCTGTAGTTCATAGTGTGTTAGGCTACTAACCAAAATGCCTCAAAACTCCAGCAGTTCTAATCCACCCCATGTTCCATGAGAGAAAGACTATTGAGGTCTACAGACAATCTTTTAAAAAGCAAATAACCACATCATTCTCCAGGGGACAATTGGTGGCTTCAGACCCCTGACTACAACACTAGAGCTCTTACAGATATAATAAAAGGGGGGAGTGCGATGTGAACCCATTGCCATTATGCAGATTCCAATTCACAGCAATTTTACAGGATACAGAGGAACTGCACAAGATTTGCAAGGTCATAATCTTTCAAAATCAGATTACCACATCTTTCTCCCACGAAATCACAGGTGAATTTGAACTAGCCCTCTTGATTAACAGCTTAGCACTTTTCCACAAAACCAGCAGGACTCCTGCTTAGTTATACTAGATTGATTTAAAATTTAAAGATCTTACTACTTCCATAATAACTTGTAACTACTGGAAGTCCAAGTTTTATTTATCCCTTTCTTTATTTATTTATCAGGGTATGTAATTCAACTTTACACTAACTCAAGACTTTCCAAATGAAATTAGTGAGTACTGGTAAAGTATCAAAAAAGCAAAGAAAAACAGAACTATCACAAATACCCCCAAGGTATAACTAGTATGTAATTTTAGTATATATTCTAGTTTGTATCTTAGAATCCACCAAATAACACTATTCTCTTTTTAAAAAAAAAAACCATCAACATCTCTGTTCTCAATCAATCCTTTGTAAGTAATCACACACACAAAAAGAGAAGTATTTAAACTAAAAGATAAAAGTTCACAGATACACAGCTGAATAAAATTAACGGTTCATATGGGACATGCAACAGAGTTAGGAAGCTCTGGTGGCCTAGTGATAAGAAGCTGTGCTGTAATCCCAAAGACACATGGTTCGAATCCAACAGCTGCTCTGCCCACCACCACCATCACCTTCTATTTATTCTAAGCAACATCTGGCTTATCTTTAAACCAGAATTTGTGCACAAACAGAAGTAAATGTCTCTTCTACAAAAAAGATGTTTTTGTGTGCAATCGTATCTTTCTCTCACCATTTTAGTTTCAGTGCAAAAAACAGAATAGATGCCAAAAGATTCTAGATCCCTTCAAAAATCTGAACACAAAAATTATATACACATATAAAAAAACCCTTCCTTTAAATTGGATAAGGTTTCTAATACGCAAAATAGCAAACATAATAACTTACTTAAGAGTGAAGAAGAAATGTTCAATTCAAACACTAAATCTAAGGATTTCTAAAAATTGACACAAGTGATTACATGGTAGCATCCATGTTTTAGTGATATACATCACCAGATCTAAAACAAATTTTAAATAAAAGAGTTCAATTAATTACTTACTTGACTTTATCCCTGAACTTAACAATTGGCACTTTTGCTCGAATCAGCTGAGGTCTGTCAATGTAGCCAGCTAAAAGATGAAGAATACAATGTAAGCATTGATGTTTATCAAAGTGCTGCAATATTCTTTTAAAATAAAAAAAAATGGTTCTGCTAAGTTAAAGCAAAGTGTTGTCATCAAGGAAAAAAGTCCTAAGAACTGAAAACATCACTGACTATTTTCTATAACTGGAAAATCAATTCTTTAAGAGAACATTAAAGATTATTTTCAGAAATAAGGTATGTATCTAGGCCAGCAACAAAGACATATTTAAACATCAGTACAGCAAATGAAACATTATATAGCTGTAAGAACAGTATTTACAAAGAATCTTAAATTTGTAATTTCTGCAACATGATATCATGGGTAGCAAAGCACATAGGGAAGGATCTTGAAGAAAAAAAAAATCACATATTTTTTTTTCCATGAAACTTCAAAGATTTATGCTTTTCTAGTTTAAAGTAATGGAGTTTTAGTGAACAATTAAAAAAAAAAAGCTAAAAATTTTGAGTTCCAGGTATAGCTTCAAATACTAATAAACTGTACTTCCTAGACATGTTATCAAACATATCACCTTAAACCATTAATACTTTTACTATTAAAAATAGAAAAATGAAAAAAAAAACCAAAAACATCATTTGATGTTCTCTAAGGTCTTCTCTATTATTATTCTTTTTTCACAGGGTTGCTATGAGTCGTACTTCACTTGATGGCACCTAACAACAACAACAAGAACAATGGCTATTAGGGAGCTCTGGCAGCCTACTCCATAAGGAGCTATACTAACTCTAAGGCCACAAGCCTGTCTGGTAGTTTGAAAGATGGGCAATCTCCCCCACATACAACCCAAAGCCAGCCTCGGAAACTCAACAGAGGTCAGCTATGAGTCCGCTCTGCCTCAACAGCAATGAATTTTAAGCTTTAAAATTTGAAGCTAGTAAAAATTCAATAAAGGTTTAGATTATTCCTTTATTATACAAATAAAATAACTGAAAATACTATACTATTATCACTTGATTTATTTCTCTCCCACAAGAGATTTAAGTTGTTTAAGGCTGGTAACTGTACTTTCCAGATTAAAGTCTGTCAGATAATAAACATCTGACAATAATGGGTAAATTGCTTTTCCAACATAATGTAGTATGATTTCAACTGTCCACAGTAACCTGTGGAAATATAAAATTATTTGAAATGGATTAAAATGTGAATTAAAATCTGCTTAGAAATCAGCTCAAAGAATTAAATTTTATAATAAATGGCCTACTATAATCTATTTTGCATTCTAGTTGAATACAGCTGGACTTTATATTCAATGACAATTATTTTTAAAGCAAGAAAATAAGTGTTGTCATTACAAAAGAGAAGACATTTTCTCTCCCACACATAAATATATATAGATCTATGACTGAATTATTTTTCTGGCTTTTCACACACAATATGCATGATAGCTATTTATATTCATGCCTCAGTTTCTTCCCTATGTATATCCTTTTAACAAAAAGAAGTGAGGCTTAGATATCTCTGAATCCACCCCATTCAGTAGGGTGAAGGTGAGCAAGTTCAATAAAGATTTGTTGAATCATCACTCTTCCATTCAATCAAAAAATTAAAAGGACTCCATCTGGGGGTGGAAAAAAGATTGACAATATACCTAACCCAACAAGAAAATAATGAGAGAGCTCTGGTGGCTTAGTGATAAGGAACCACTAAGGTCTCAACCCAAAAGGAAGCAGTTCGATCCACCAACTGCTCTGTGGAAGAAAGAAGGGCAATCTCTTCCTATGTGATGTACTGCTTCTGAAAACCCACTGGAGGATCAGCGATGGGTCGGTTCCTATTTGACAGTATACAAGAACAAGAAGAAAATAAAGTCAAATGATATATGTCAGACTTACAAAGTCTAGTACAGAAGTGTTTATGGACTAAGGTGAGTATATGCCGTGCTTCAGTCTTCTGATTTACCTGAAAAAAATACTGAAAAGTTAAAAATAAAGTGTTTTTCCATTATCATTCCAAACTTAGTGTTTCAATTTTTTAATTTCAACAAAAAATAGCATAAGTTACACTTTATTTTTTCAGGATATACTAAGTTACACTGTAAAGTCATATCAGCATTTCTAAATCAAGTACTGATTTTAATTTTAAATGACAACTTCTCAAGAAATAACTGAATAGTCAAATACATTGTTAATTCTTTAGAATATACAAAAATATAGAAGTTGAACATTCTGTAACAACTTTCTTACATAGATTATGAGCTGCTAAATGAAAAGGCCTGTCTAAAACATGAGTGTAAATTTTAACAAGATTCAGACTTATTAATAAAAATGAAGGATTAATTAAAATTGCCAATATTCTGTTTGATTTTAAACTTTTTGTGTTCTCTAAGAATGTTTCTTCTTGTTTTCTCTTCTAAGGACTTTACAGCCTTTAAAAAGAAAAGTTTCTTTTCTGGAGTAGATCTCTGATTTTTAGCAACTAGAAACCATTTCTGTGGCTGCAATAACATAACAGGAAAAAATATCTATTACCAATAAGTATCATTTTTACATTTTCAAAGAGGTAAGATAAAGGCATACTATAGTTATACTGAACTGTAGGCATATGTCATTTAATGTCCACGGTATTTATATGAAATGGGACATTACATGATTTGGATGTTGTGCAAACATAGTACATATAGTACATTTTATATTATATATATATCTATATATATATATATCTATATATATATATATATATATATATATATCTATATCTATATATATATATATATCTCTTTGACAAACATATCAAAATAACTTCTTTACAGGGTGTTTCAGGTCTCCTTTAGCACCGAGAGCATTTGAGTTTGCAAATTTGCACCTGCAACTGGCTGCCTCTAGGCATGCAGCCCTCTTAGCAGCTGGGGAGACTGGTCTGAGAAACCCTGAAGGGCAGAGAATGGCAGTAGTCCTTAGTCTTCCCACAGGATAAATCCAAGGGACAAACAGATGGAGGACACAACAGTGGCAGCTCTAGTAGTCTCAACAGTCACCATGGCCAAGGTACCACAAACTTAGTGCTGGACCATCTCCTGGCACTTTTCCAAGCAAGATCTTCTGTTAATATGCAGATATTGCCTGAGGGGATATTATGCAGGGTGTACCTATACTTAATCTTTGCTAATTCAGAAGATAATGCAGGATATTAAAAAGATTAAATTATGTGATTTTAATAAAAAAAATCAGTTTTTGTAATATTAAATATACATAACAGCTATCTTAAGGGGGAAAATGACAAAGCATCAGCACAAAATTGCAGAACAATAGTATAACTTCAGTGATAGTTCTCTTTTTTTATCCCATAATAATACACTTAAACTCCAAGAATTTCCAAGGGGAAAAAATAAAGATTAAAAATAGAATCACTGAGACTGTAAACAGAAAGGAAATATACCAATACATCAAGATAATACTACTCTTTGGTTGCTTTTTAATTTTGCTGCATTCTGGCAAAATATCCAACTAAACTATATTTTAAAAGAGAGGCAGAGCTCTTTAAAAAGACATGCTGAAAAAAAAAAAACACAACCCAACACATGCTGAAGCCATTTCATTTTAACAACCTAGAACTAAAAGAATGTTAGCATTATTATACTTACTGTGCATATGGCTTAGACCAAAACACTTCCTGGCTTTCCTTGAATTCCTATGAAGAGTTCTTTCAATGATTATTATTTATTTGTCAAATTCTTTAACATGAAACACTTGAAATAAATGTTTTATTACTTACCGGTTCTTCTTTAACAACTAGGCATAAATCACCATCACTACTTCGGGTACCAAATCCATTCAAGGAAGATCCAACCAAAAAAAGTCTACTTTCTAGAGAAACAGACAAGAAATGCATAGTTTTATTCAACTAAAACTAAATATATATAAGCATGAGGGACATGCACAATAAGGAAACATACGTGGAAATAACAGTTGAATTTCTCTCTGCAGTACTGTCCGACAAAGTTCTTTCTTCTTTAAATCGCTTACTTGCTGTTGACATGCTTGAAACAACTCCAGTATCTGCTGACTCAACTTGAACCACAAAAAAAGCAAAATTTTAAGACTTCAGTAATGCAAAAGTAATTACTAGACTGAGAAGTATAAGTCAGTACTACAAATTCTTTAGAATATAAATATATCCAATACTTTGCAATACAGAACTATTGCTACTTAAGTACAGATAGCTGGAAAAAAGACACATAAATTTTATTAAGTAAAATATACTAACATAAAAGTACAGTCATAAATTTAACAAGCATACTCCGTGGATCAGCAAGCCACTCTCCTTAATCAGTATTTGTTTTTATATGGTCTATGCAGTTAAGAATGTTTTTTACATTTCTTCACAGCTATTAAAACATGCAAAAATGAATATATGACAAGATATCATATGTGAGTGGTAAAAGTATAAAATATTATCTCTAGCCTTTCAGGAAGTTTGTGTAATCTCTGGCATTCAAACCGTGAATACAAAATATAAAATACTTAAAAACAAAAAAAACAAACCTATTCTTTATGATGCAAATAACCTTCTTCCCTATTTCTATTTAAATGAACGATGGGCTTCTGGGTCTATGTTCAGGTTTTGCATAAATACAATCAAATGTTCAGAGACTACCATTTTTCTTAATATTGTTGCTGTTGTTAATTGCCACTGAATGGATCATGACTAATAGCAACCCTATGAACAAAAGACCTGAGGCCTTTCTATAACTACTGTCATTTCTCAACGTTCATAGCTTCCGGAGTCATGCTGTTTAGGAAGTGGGTGCCACTCCTGCTTCCAATTCTTAATATTACCATAATTTATTATGATTCACACAGTTGAATCCCTTTGTAGAGTCATTAAAACACAAGTAAACATCTTTCTATGGTTTTAGCCAGTATTCATGTGATATCAGCAATAAAATTTTCCTCCCAGAATTTATAAATATTTAAATAAAAATTCTACATATATATCTGTTTAGTACCAAGTTAATATTTTTAAAGTATTTGCTAAATGCTAAATATTCCAAAAGTTAGTGTTGTCACTTTTATTATGCTTCATAGAGTTGGACAATGATTAAGGATGACAGAGAAAGGACTAATGCCTTCGAGTTGTGGTGCTGGAGAAGAGTCTTGAACATACCATGGACTGCCAAGAAAATAGGACTGTCTTGGAGTGGGTGAAACCGAGTTTCTCCTTGAAGGCTAGGACTCTGAAGCTCTGTCTCACACACTCAGGGCATTTTGGCCAGGAGAGCCCAGTCCTGGGAGAAGGACATCATGCTTAGAAGGGTGAAAGGACAGCACAGGAAAGAAGACCCGGGATGAGATGGATTGATACAGTAACCGGGTCACTGGGGGTAGGTTTGTCAGAATTAGTGAGATTGACTCAGGATAGGGCTGGGTTCAGAGTTGTTTATACATAGGGTCACTATTAGTCGCAGGGGACTAGACAGAACATAACAACAAACAAGGGTCCGTTATCTCTGATAGTAATCTTGCTTCTGAATGTCAAACATACACAGTCAGGGTCAGTTAAATTAAAATACCTATTTCTAAAATACCAATTAGCTTATGTTTTATTGGTAAATAGGGGAGTGGTAGAGTTGTATTGTCAATGTAGAGGGCTGGTTTGTAGGTACAGCTGGAAATGTGGAATTAAGAGATGTGTATTTGTTCCCATCCCAAAGAAGGGTGACCCAACTTAGAGTGGAAACTACAGAAAAATATCATTGATTTCACATGCAAGCAAGATTCTACTGAAGATTATGCAAAAGCGACTGGAACAGTACATCAACAGAAAACTGCCAGAAGTCCAGGCTGGATTTAGAAGGGGTCATGGTACTGGGAATATTGTAGCTGATGTTAGATGGATCTTAGCTGAAAGCAGAGAATACTAGAAGAATGTCTATCTGTGTTTCATTGATGAGGCAAAGGCATTTGACTGTGTGGATCATAACAAACTGTGGCTAACTCTGAGAAGAATGGGAATCCCAGAACATTTAATCGTGCTAATGTGAAACCTATACTCGGACCAAGAGGAAGTCGTCAGAACAAAGCAGGGCAACACTGCATGGTTCAAAATTCAGAAGGGTGTACGCCAGGGATGTG